GGAGGATGGGAGGGAGGGAGATGGATGGCCGATTTCCTTCCCTGAGGACGGGGTAACGGGAAGGAGAGTCAGGGAAGGCAAGCAGTAAATAGGGAGGAGAGCAGCATCTGATGAGGCAGCCAGAGCCAGGACCTGGAGCTGCAGAGCTGAGTTTCAGGTCCAGCGTTGCCATATGACGCAGCTGTGTGACCTGGCATGTGGCTCAACCTCATCCAGCTTGTTTCCACTTCTGTAAAACGGTGACATCTCCCTCGTAGTGTGTTTTAAGGAATACATGAGAAAATGACTTCTCTGTAAGCCAGCTGCTGACGTCGTCAGGCTGAGTTCATCTGGGGACCAGCTGGAGCTCTGCCCCGCTCACTGCCAGCACCCAGCACAGGCTCTGACAGTCGGCACTGTCCAGGCGGCCTTGGGGTTGCAGGTAGTGCTGGCAGCCCGGGGGGCTCGGGGAAGCGGAAGGGCCAGGCCAGGGGAGGCTCCAGCAGCCAAAGGAACGGAGGTTCTGCCTGTCCCCATCAGCAGGAGAGGCAGAAATGGTTGGAAAGATCACAAGAAGGGTGACATCACAGGGGAGGAAGCTGGTGAGAGGCAGGTTCCCAGAAAGGGGGAAGCCTTGTGCAGAGACGCCCAGCCAGAGCAGGTTCTGCGAAACCAAGCAGCTGGCATCTGGATGTCATGAGGCCCAGTCCCTGCCCCGCCTCTAGGCTGCTCAGAGGGCATAAGGCCTCAGCCAGAGCCAGGCGGGCACCGGGAGAAGCTGGGAAGAAAGCAGGGAGGTGGTGGGGCAGCAGAAAGCACTCAGAGTGAGGCGATGTGCCAAGGATGCCCAGGCAGTGGAGGGCACCCGGGCCAGCGTTTCCTCCTCACCTAGCTAGCACCTGAGGGCTAAGACGACCTCTGGCCGACCCACCCGCTGCTGCTTCTTACTGGTGGTCACTCTGGCCAAGGACTGTGCCTCCCCCTGCTGCAAACCCTGTGCCTGGAAATCTACACCCATCCCCAGACCCCTCACGTCTTCACCACCCACACAAGCAGATTTTCCAACGAATGCTCATTCAAAGAATTTCCCAGCATCGACACAGGACGATCATTATCTAAAGATCGTAACTAGAGGAAACGGTCTGTCCGGTGCTTATAGTTGGGAGGAACGCCTCTGCCTTCCCTTCCACATGCACACATGGACAGGAGCCTGGGGGCAGGGGACATGAGTCTCCGCTTGGAGACCCTGGGCCCTTAACGAAGGTCTGAGAAGGTAGAGATGGGACTCTCCAGGCTGCTCTGGGAACTGGCAAGACCACAGAAACTGTCAGTCCTCTCTTCAGGATGCCCATGGATTGGTCGGGAACGCCTTAGCCAAGAGGGTGAATAGCTGGCACGGCTGCCCAGAGGCTCTGCGGGAAGCATCTCCACAAGCACGACCACTACCTGTGTGCACACATGTGCACGAATGCACAGACCCGGCACGTGTATGCACGCCCACACAACGCCTTGGGTCAGACCACCTAGCTCAGCTCCAGTGTCTCCAGTTACAAGCTGGGTGACTTTGTGGAAATGGCTTGGCCTCTCTGTGCCTCAGGGTCCTCAGTGGCCTA